GGGAGCTGCGGCAGCTGCGGTCGGGGGAGCGCCTGTTCCTGCTGCTGAAGAAGCACAGCCCGCTGCCGGTGTCCGGGAACAGAGGTACGGACACGGGAGGCCTTCGTTTGAGTCCTGGTTATAACATTTGAAGTGTTTAGGTTTTTACTGGTGGCTGTAGTTCTACTTGACAGTAATCGATTCCAAAGTGTCTTTCAACCCCAGTGTGTTTTCAACATGTTTCTGACCTGAAAAGGGCTTTTAAATTGTTTTCAATAGCTACCTTGCAGCCTGTTTTCTGCCGGCACTGAGTGTATATGTGTATTTCAGAGACTCTCTCCCCAGCCCAGCCCCAAAAAAGAGAATAATACCCCACCCGAAAAGCAGCGTTCAGCCCTGGATCTCTTGTGTTTATTTTAACGAGAAGTCTTATTTTCTGTTAAACAAAGTGAATCCCGATCTGTATATTGTGTCAATTTACTCCTAAGTGCACTGCTCCCTTCTAATTCTCAGCTTCTTGGGTCGTGCTCTCTGTCAGTGTTGGAGTGAGAATTTCAAGTTAGATGGATTGATTTTTATCTGAGAGATTACATTCAGCTTTGAGGATGAAATTTGATTATGATTCTAGGATTTTAAGTGATAGCTAGAAAGACTTTTATTTTTTTTCCTTGACCAGCTTTGATGCATTTAAGTGAATTGGCCTCTCTGTTCCCCATGCCACTCTTGTGGCTAGCTGGGGACTGCCCACACGTGTCGGTGTGTGTTGCACGATTGAAGGCACAGTGATGAATGGGAAGCAAAAAAATTTCTTTCTGGAAGAATAAATTTGCTTTTGCCTGAGATGACTCAAAGTAATTCATGTTTGTATCTGTCTTTTGATGCTGGAGAGTGTTCTGCATCGCTTAAACCTGGGCCAGGTGCTTTCTGGGGAGGGTGGCATGCTAGGCTGGTGCTCTGTCCCTGGGAATGGCTCTCACAGATGCTCTGGCTTTCTACAGCTGCTGAGTTCTTGTGCAGAATTCAGCCCTAGTGTGATTTAGTCTTGGTTGTGCAGAGCTGGTAATCAGAGGGGCGCCTGTGTGGCTCCTGCTGAGGGCTCAGCTGTGCCTGTGATTCTGGACTCACACATGAATGAAATCTGAGCACAGGGAAGTGAAATCCCGAGGCTGAGGCACTTAACCCAAAACTGCTTTTTTCTTCCAGGGAAAATGCTTCATGAGATTAAAAGCCTTGTCATTGAGGACCCGAAATACTGGCTGGATATTGTCTCTGCTTGGAGAAAGCTTCATGGGCACGAGAGGAAAACAGATGATGGCTCTATAGGAAATGCATTGTCTCTGAAGAGAAAGTCAGAAGAAGAGACAAATACTGCAAGTAAAAGGCAAAAGACAGAACAAGTGAGGGCAGTTGTGTCTGAGGAGTGTCAGGTGGGAGCTGGAGAGACCTGTGAGGCAGCAGCCAGAATGAGCAGGCCAGAGTGCTGGACTGAGAGCAGGACTTGCTCAGAATTGCCTTCCATGGGCAATGCGGAGGATCCTGCTGCCAGTGAGGAGCTTGGCTTCAGCTTCAGGGTGTCATGTCGCTGCAGTGGAGCCATTGCCAGAACACTGACTTCACAGGTATGCTGAGCTACCTGCTTTAAAATAATCCAGCAAGGGTGAACAGAGATGTGTACTTTGACATTTCAGTTGTGTTATGTTTTCTGGAATAATAAACTGATGTAAGCTTTTTCTGTATTTTCTAAAAAAGCCCTTTACCTGCATTCATCTTAAACAAGTGGATACAAATGCTGGTTTTGATTTCTGGGCACTGTTACCCTTCGTGTTTTTCAAATCAATACCTTTAGCTGAGGGAAAGCAAAGGTAAGAGTTTGAGGTTCTGGGCCAGTGGAGGCCCAGTGAGGAGTGATTGGATAATTTACATCTCCTTGAAGGGTCATTGCAAGGACTCTGGGGCCAGACTCCTCTCAGTTGTGCAGTCTGGACAAAGGGGTAAAAGCCAGAGCTCACAACTTCAGTTGCCTCTGGCTGGGTATTGGGGAGAATTTGTTCTTCAGGAGTACAGCCCTGGGAGTCTTGGGAGTAGTGGAGCTTGGTCCTTGGGAAGGAATAGTGTCATGCAGTCCTCCAGGGGTCTGTTCCATTCAGCCGTCTTCCCATCTGGTTACTCTTACTGGAAGGTGTCAGTATTTAGATTTTTTTTCCTACTAAAGCTAGTACCTTGGTGAGGTGAGACACATGAGCTTCCCTAGGAGGGAAGTGTTAGCTTAAATTTCTGCTATTTGAACCTATACTCTGAAGGTAATCAGAACTTTTTATACGTAACGAAAGCATTAAAACTGTGAGTTGTAGTTGTGCACTTGCAGGTTTTCTGTTGGGTAACCTGCCTTAGAGCCATTGGAAGTATTTTGTGTGTGTGTAATTAAGAATTCCAAAACGGTGGCAGTCACAGAATATTCTGGGTTGGAAGGGACCCACAAGGATCAAGTCAGTGTTTTATTATGACTTGATCAGGACTGGAACTTCAGCCTCTCCTCTCCTGCTGCAGCTGAGCATTGGTTGTTTGGTTGTTTGCATTGGTTGTTTGCTTTGTGCTGTGTTTGCTTTGCCCCTCACTCACCTGCTCTGCCCTGTTGTGCTTCTTCTACTGTGAGTTGTGTGAGTTACTGTCTTAGACATAGGCTCTTCCCTGGGATTTCTGAGGGTTGTGCATTGAGGCTGTGCTCTGCAGTTTCCTCAGTTGTGTGTTTTCTCGTTCCTGTGCTCTGCAGTTTCCTCAGTTGTGTGTTTTCTCGTTCCTGTGCTCTGCAGTTTCCTCAGTTGTGTGTTTTCTCGTTCCTGTGCTCTGCAGTTTCCTCAGTTGTGTGTTTTCTCGTTCCTGTGCTCTGCAGTTTCCCCAGCTCTGTGTTTTCTCGTGCCTGTGCTCTGCAGTTTCCCCAGCTCTGTGTTTTCTCATGCCTGTGCTCTGCAGTTTCCCCAGCTCTGTTTTCTCATGCCTGTGCTCTGCAGTTCCCCAGCTCTGTGTGGTTTTCTCATGCCTGTGACTGTTGTCCCCTCGCAGGAGGTCGGCAGAGCCCTTGGCACAGCCCTGGTGAAGCAGTGTGGGTGGCGAGCTGATCTGCGGGACCCTGACCTGGAGGTAGGGCTGCTTGTGTGCCTGTGGGTGCTTCCAGACTCACCCTGGCACCTCTGCTTTGGTTCTCTGCTCCCTCTGCACGTGGGACCATGGCCTGTCCCTGCTGCTAAATTTACCTGAAAATCAGCATGTGTGTGGCCCTGGTGTGTGTGTGCCTCCCAGAGCTCTGGCATGGACCCCAGCCTGGCTGGGGCTGCCAGCGTGGGAGGGGAAGGATCCCCAGAGCATCCAGCACCCTCACAGACTGCTGGGCTCTGTGAAAATGGAACTCACCTGAGCCATGGGGTTTGTTTGACCAACCTTGTCACCTTTATGACCAGGTAACCCGCCTAGTGGATGCAGGGAAGGCTGTAGATGTTGTTTACTTGGATTTCAGCAAGGCCTTTGACACTGTCTCCCACAGCATACTCCTAGACAAACTCGCAGGCCGTGGCTTGGACAGGAGTGCTCTATGCTGGGTTCAGAACTGGCTGGATGGCCGGGCCCAGAGAGTGGTGGTGAATGGTGCTGCATCCAGCTGGCAACCAGTCACCAGTGGTGTCCCTCAGGGATCTGTGCTGGGGCCAGTTCTGTTTAATATTTTTATTGATGACATGGGTTTAGAGTCTTTTATCAGCAAATTTGCAGATGACACTAAGCTGGGAACGTGTGTTGATCTGTTAGAGGGACGTAGGGCTTTGCAGAGGGACTTGGAACGGTTGGATGGATGGGCAGAATCTAATGGGATGAATTTCAATAAGTCCAAGTGCCGAGTCCTGCACTTTGGCCACAATAACCCCCTGCAACGATATAAGCTAGGAATGGTGTGGCTGGACAGTGCTCAGGAGGAAAGGGACCTGGGGGTGCTGGTTGACAGTCGGCTGAACATGAGCCAGCAGTGTGCCCAGGTGGCCAAGAAGGCCAATGGCATCCTGGCCAGTATCAGGAAGGGTGTGGTCAGCAGGAGCAGGGAGGTCATTCTTCCCCTGTACTCAGCACTGGTGAGGCCTCACCTGGAGTATTGCGTCCAGTGCTGGGCCCCTCACTTTAGGAGGGACGTTGAGATGCTTGAGCGTGTCCAAAGGAGAGCAACGAGGTTGGTGAGGGGCTTGGAACACAAGCCGTATGAAGAACGACTGAGGGAGCTGGGGTTGTTCAGCCTGGAGAAAAGGAGACTCAGGGGTGACCTTATCACCCTCTTCAACTTCCTGAGGGGTGGCTGTGGTGAGCTGGGGGTTGGTCTCTTTCTCAACAGACAGAACAAGAGGACACAGTCTCAAGCTGCGCCAAGGGAGATGCAAGCTAGAATTAAGGAGGAAGTATTTTACAGAAAGAGTGGTCGAATACTGGAATCATCTACCCCGGGAGGTGGTGGAGTCACCATCCCTCGAAGAGTTTAAAAAAAGACTGGATGTGGCACTTGGTGCCATGATCTAGTTGAGGTGTTAGAACATGGGTTGGACTTGATGATCTTACAGGTCTCTTCCAGCCTAGAATTTCTGTGATTCTGTGTCTGTGAAAGGGTCTCCAGCAGGATCCAGCACCCACACAGACTGCTGGGCTCTGACTGTGTGAAAATGGAGCTCACCTGAGCCAAGGGGTGTCCGTGGCCCCTGGAGGGGAAGGGAGCAGGCAGCATGGGCTGTTCTCAAGGAGCTGGACTTGAGGATATGACAGACAGGGCCTGGGGAAGGCTCCCACACAAACAGCAAACAGCTCCCTTGGTGCACCCTTGCTCGTGCAGCTGCCTGGGGACCTCCCAGAGGACTCCTGGCTCCTGATAAGGAGTGTTTCCCCAGGGATGTTTGTCCATCCCTGCCCTTGACCTGTGGGAGCTGCTCTCAGCTCTGATGCCCAGAGATGCCAGACCTGCAGAGGCTGTGGAGTTCATTTTCTGGCACTGGTGCCCACACTCAGCACTAGGTACTGTGTACAGCTTTGGTGAGGCTCACGTGCCCCTCCTGTTCTTGCCCAGGTTTTTGCTCTGAAGCTGTTCAAGTGCTGAGGACTGGGATTTTCCAGCAGCATCATGTTTCCCTTTGTGCTTCCTGGGAGCAGGGATTGCAGTCATGCAAGACCTTCTGGGGAGCTCAGTCTTCTTTTGGGATGTTCTCTATGGAACAGCAGGACAATTTCTTGTAACTGCCTACAGCTGTTTGTTGTTGTTTGTTTTGGAATTTTTTGTTTGGTGGGGTTTGGTTTGGGTTTTTTGTTTGACTTTTTTTTGGGGGGGGGGTTTGTTTAGTTGGTGTTTTTTTAAATGTTTATTATTTTGTTGCTAGTATACAGTAAATAATATTCTCCCACTTGTAGTAAATGGATTTATAACTAAAAATTCCTATGCTGTGTTAAGGAAAAATAGGCCCCCTTATAAATTCAAGTGCTTGCTGATGGATTCCTGGCTGACAAAATACCCCTCAGCTTGATTAAGCATTAAATCATCTGCAAAGTGGCATTCAGATCGTCCAGCAGGATTTCTTCCAATTAATTGGTGCTGTTTATAGTATGCATTTTTGTTCTTAAAAACTGAAATCAGAAGTTGTAGAAGCATCTATGTCTGGTTTAAGTGAGTTAAAGCTGTTGTTGTGTCAGTTTGAGACTTGAAAATATTTGGGTTGGTTTTTTTTTCCTCTTCTAGATCTTTGTACATCTCAATGACATTCACTCTGTGGTGGGGATTCCTCTTTTCAGGTAAGTGTTTTCCCCACTGGATTTGTCATGGCAGTATCAGAACAGACAGGATTTGTAAATCTTGCTCTCCACCATGAGTATTTATCTTTTGGTTTAATAACCACTGTTGTCAAATTAATCTTGTGGTCTGCCTGGGTTTTAAATGAACACAGAGCCAGACTTTGCAGTGAGTTATGGTTAAAAGAGACTTCTCTGTCTCTCAGGAGATCTGTCTAGTTCATTTGTTCTTTGACATCACATGGGCTTTTCTGGGTGGTTCTGCTGCTGGTTTAGTTAACTTTTTTGGTTTTTTGCTGTCTGCAGGCTTCCATTGGCAAACAGAGAGTACATCAGAACAGCAGGACTGCGGTCAACAGTGGCATGGGCCATGGCATCTCTGGCTGAAATCAGGGTCAGTGAGTGTTTCTTGCCAAGAAATGGGTCCCGAATTAAGGGAATGGGGTGCTGCTCATGGGGGCTGGGGAGGAGTGGGGTGGTCTCAGTGCTCCATTCACTGGGGAGGAGTGGGGTGATTTCAGTGCCCCATTTTCCCCACTGGCTGTGAAGGATTGGGGTGGTTTCAGTTCCCCATTCTTCCCATTCACTGGGAAGGAATGAGGTGATTTCAATGCTCCATTCACTAGGAAGGAGTAGGGTGATTTCAGTGCTCCATTTACTGGGAAGGAGTGAGGTGATTTCAGTGCTCCATTCTCCCCATTCACTGGGGAGGAGTGAGGTGATTTCAGTGCTCCATTCTCCTCATTCACTGGGGAGGATTGGGGTGATTTCAGTGCCCCATTCTCCCCATTCACTGGGGAGCAGTGGGGTGATTTCGATGCTCCATTTACTGGGAAGGATTGGGGTGATTTCAATGCTCCATGCACTGGGAAGGAGGGGGGTGATTTCAGTGCTCCATTTACTGGGAAGGAGTGGGGTGATTTCAATGCTCCATTCACTGGGGAGCAGTGGGGTGGTTTCAGTGCCCCATTCTCCCCATTCACTGGGAAGGAGTGGGATGGTTTCAGTGCATCATTCCCTAGTGCCTGTGGATGGACAGGGTCTGCCATGCCTTTGATGAGTGTGCTGTCACCTGCAGTTCAGCCAGGTGTCTGCTGTAACTCCAGGTGCTTCCCAACAGAGCTGGTATTCCTTGTACAGATACATGTCTAAATGGTGAGATTTTTTCTGCTGTTGTGTGACGGTGAAAAAATGAAACATTGGTGTTGTTTTCCAAGGAAATGTGATCTCTTTTCACAGTGGTACAAATATCTGTCTGCAGCCCACTTGTAATATTTCCTCCTCAATGTCTCCTCAGGGCTGTCTGCAGTGAAACTGTGGGTGCTTTTCACTATATTCCCTTACAGGCGAGTTTGACCATGGACTACCAGATATTCTTGTTAATGCTGGGTTCAGAGGGATTATGACCATCCCTCTGTGAGCTCTGTCCTGGCTCAGGAGTCTGTCTTGCTGGGGATGCAGTAACCCCTCTGTTTTTGTAGGTTGGTGCCCTTGTGCTGGATCCCATGTGTGGGCTAGGAACCATCCTGCTGGAGGCTGCCAAGGAGTGGCCTGTGAGTATCCCAGCCCCAGCTGCTGGAGTTTCCCTCTGCAGGGAGACTGGTGCTTGTGGGACAGGGTTTTCTCTCTGCCAGTAAGGCGAAAGCCCATTGCTGCCTGGAAAGCTGAAACCAAACCAACCTTTCCAGGCAGCTGCTACAAGCGTTTCAGTACAAAGGTTCCCCCAGGTGAATGTGTCCTGCAGGCTGGTGCAGCTGGTGATTTCCACTGCAGGGTTTGTGTGAGGCAGCCACGAGCTTGTGGAGCTTCCTGGGCTTGTCCTGGGCTCAGAGGAGTCGGTGTCATGGGGCAGTCGTCAGCTTTAGGGGCAGTGGGCCTGGCTGAACCTAGCTGGGGTCCTGCTGTTAGGACATGCTCTTGGTACTTCTGTCATTTCAAGGGCCTTGAGCAGACCAGAGCATTAAAGGAGTGGGGACAACACATACTTCTGATCATTAATATTTCTGATCATTGAAAGAGTGGAGACAGCACATACTTCTCTGATCATTAATATTTCTGAACACTGAAAGAGTGGAGACAGCACATACTTCCTCCATTCCTCCATCCTCTGGATTGTGAATTGTTTTGTGTAACAACAGCAGATGTCCCAGGAAGGGGGTTGTCTTGCAAGAGCTGTGCAACAAGGCAGTTGGAGAAGGGTTAATGAAATAAAGAACTGGAGTGTTTACAAAATTACTTTATTCTCTCTCTGGACAGGACGCCTGGTACTGGGGTGCTGATATAAGTGACTCACAGTTAGAGGGTGCAGATGGCAATATCAGAGCTGCAGGCCTGGTGGATAAGATTGAGCTGCTTAAAGCTTCTGTGAAAGGTATGTCTGTGTTATTTCCAGGTGGATTTTTTGTGTTTCTGGGATTGGACAGGTAGGTTCTCCTGAGGTGATACATTGTAGAGGTAACTCCCCAAAATAGCTGAGTGGTGACTCTGTGCTAGTGAAGGGATAATTATTTGTAATTCCTCCCTGTTGCCTGCACCTGGAACTTTCATTCAACTTTAAGACTTAAGTCAGCAGAAGACAATAAAAATTACAATTGTCTGCCATGGACAGCAGTTGTCTCTCTTCATGGTAAATATGTGATTTACCACCACAATACATAAAGAGTATGTACCATGTGAGAGTTCTTTGTATCTTAGTGGAGCACAACCAGGACAAATCCAAATGGAATGCAGCCTGTAACTTAAATTTACCAGGTGAGTATTGATGAGGACACATTAAACTGAGCTGAATTGTTCATGTTTTGCAGTAGGAGTATTTTGAATGATGGTTCCTTTCTCCTGTAAGAGGGAGTCTGTTTGCTCTTGATTTGCAAGCTATTCTGTAGAGAAGGCAATAATTTCATGACCTTATTCTGGACCTCAGAATCTGAGGCTAAATTATGCCAATATAAAATCCATGACAGGCAATCTGGCTGAGTTTTCCTGTGCATGAGTGAAGTGTGCGTATTTTTTTACCTTGCAGTATTAATTTCTTACTGGAATGGTAAGAAACATTATTGATTTTTTTATAAAAATGTAGGTTTATTTCTCACTTAAAAGATGTGTTTGACTTTGATTTCTAGGATAATGAAGGGTGCTTAGCTGCCAGGTTTTCTAAATGGAGCAAGTTGCTGTCTCCATCACTGGTCAGAAGCTGTCACTCCTGCATGTCTTGAGCAGGGCTGTAGGTGGCATGTCCTTTCATTTGCAGATAAAATTGATACCCAGTTGTTGTGCTGCAAGTGTTGAAAAAAGAATGGTCCAGGAAACATCTCCAGCTAGTTGTATAAAAGTTGGCACAGAATCTCAGCAGAGTTTAGGTGAGGAGGGGCTGTTGGAAGTCTTTAGTCCTGCTGTCTGCTCAAGGCTGTGTCCAGTGAGTTTGGAGCACCCTGAGGGATGGAGGACCCCAGGGTCTGTGCAGGGCCGAGGCCTGCTGACCTGCACAGCCTGGCACAGGATGGAGGGACCCTCAGGGTCTCAGGAGGGGTCTCAGCTAGCCTGGCACAGGCTGGCACATGGCCAGCCTCCATCACCACAGGCACAGTGCTACATCTTCCTTGGTGGGATGCAGGAGCTCTAAGGAGACCCTTCAATGACATCACCTCTGACAGAATCCAGGTGATTCTGGCTGTAACCAGATTCCTGGGGGGAGAAAAGGGGCATGGAGAGGAACTGAAGGTGGCTCCTTGCCATTCATACACGTGCACTAGGACGTTTTCACCGAGTAAAGTGCTCACAAACGTAGCTCTTCTTTTGTGTTTTGCTCAGTGATTTTCACATAGCTCTTCTTTTGTGTTTTGCTCAGTGATTTTCACATAGGTCTTCTTTTGTGTTTTGCTCAGTGATTTTCATGTTTAAGATGTACTGGGTGTTGAGGGGCAGCAGTTAATTTGGGAACATGTAGTGCCCTAGGAGAGTCTTGCTGCAGGGGCAGAGACTCTGCAGGCTGAACAGTGCTGCCACACATTTGTCTCCTCCCAGTCGGCAGAGGGGTGCTGTCTCCGTGGTGGAGGGCAAGAGCAGGAGCTGTGAGTCTGCATAATCCAAAATGTGGATTATTTTAGATTGTGTGATTATGTGGATTATATAGATTGTGTGAATGTGCATAGCCCAAAAGGAGCTGGCAGGCAGTGTTGAAGGGGGAACGGGGGCAGAGCTGCTGTGCATTTTTCACACAGTCAGAGATAAATAAAGACCTGCCTTTATCCTGCAGCTCTGCCATTGCCTTCAGAGAGCTTTGACAGCGTTATTTCGGATATTCCATTTGGGAAGAAGTTCAAGACCACAAGTGATGCCCAGCTCCTACCAGATCTTCTCCAGGAAATGGAGAGGTACATGTGGCCTTTGGCACGCTCAGGGTTTGGTGAAAGTGCCATGATGGTTTGTGATCTGAGCATTCAGCCAGCTTGAGACCTGCTTTGCTCCATAGTCTGCAGCTCTGCAGTGTGACTCTGTGCAGGCTGTGGGGGTCCCAGCCCATTCCTGTCCCTTGGAGGCTGTTGTGTTGTGTCTCACCAGCTCTGAGTGCCAAGGGAGGCTCCTGTGTGAGCCATGCTCACAAATGCTCTTTGCAAGGCACGGTGGGGAAATGTTTCTGAGCCACACTCCAGTGTGGCAGAAAGGAGAAAGAGGAGAGGCCTACCCGGACAAAGTTAAAGCATGGCCAGGCAAATAAAGCTGTAATCATTTTCTAGCCGAGGCCTGCTTGTATAAGTTCATAGTCTTTCCTTTTCAAGGCCACAGCCCAGCTTTGACCAGCCTGGCTTGGCAGGAAGAATCTCAGACTAGAAGAAGGGGCATGCATGAAGGGGCATGCATCGTCCTTGCTGTCCAGGAATGCCTCACTAGCAGCCTGGGCTGGTTTTAGGTGTGTCCTTTCATCCCTCACCATGTCATTTGGTGGCAGAGTTGGGCCAAGCTGATAGCTGGGCTGCTTCCAGCAGACAGGTCAAGCCATCTTCCCCTCTATTCTTGCCTGCCAAGAAACTCTTTCTCTAGGACTGCTCTTGGGCAGGTGTTGATCTCGCTCAGCCAATGCAGGAATGTGGTGGGAAGGTGCTGGAGAAGGTTGCATGGCTCCACAGAATGGTGTGGCAGTCTTACTGTGCTTGTTTTCTGCCCTTATTTGCTCTATTGGTCCATCCTAAGTAAAATAATTCCTTAGGAAGGGGGAGATGAGGAAGGGGCCATGAGAGCCCCACCTCCACAGTAAAGCTGTTCAAACTACTTGCTGTAAACTGAATCAGGACAGTATTTCTTTTTCCCTTCTTTCAAAGCCACGTGTAATGTTTGGACATTTACCTAGAAAAATTAATTGCAAACACTTATTAATTTTCTCTTCTGCTTCCTGAGTTTGAAAGCCATGAAGGATCAGTGGAACAGGGAAAGTTCCAAAAGGCTGTTTTTTGAAGTTTCCAAAAGGAAGGGAGTTACCATGCTAATCTGAGCAGCCCTTGCTGCACTGGGAGGCTGTTCCTTTGCAATCTCCAAAAACTCTGGGCTTGATGGTGCCCTTGATCCTTGAAAGAGTGCTGAGGGGAGTAAAAAATTAGTCCCTCTTCCCTGCTAACCCAACAGAAAGAACTGCTGTCATCAGAAATGTTTTGGAGTCAGGACAGGGCCCTGTTCTCCCATTTAGAAAGAGGTAAGAAGATCAGGGATTTAAACTTCTCTTGAAGGTGCAGCTCACTGAGTTGAACCGGGCACTCTCGGGTGTTTCACTGAATGCAGGTGGCATCTGAAGTGTCAGCAGTGGCAAAGGGATGCCAGGAGGAGTCAACACCTAACCTTTCTTTTTCCTGTGATTGCCAGAGTGCTTCGAGTTGGAGGGACCCTGGTGTTGCTGCTGAGCCAGGAGCTCCACAGACTCATGGATGGTTTGACCAGGAGTGCTGGACGTGACCCTGCTGAGGCCTCTGCTGATTGTGACAGTGGAGCACAGGCCATGGATGGTTTGATCAGGAGTGCTGGAGGTGACCCTGCTGATGATGACACTGGAGCAGCTCCTGCACAGGCCATGGATGGTTTGACCAGCAGTGCTGGAAGTGACCCTGCTGATGGTGACAGCAGAGCAGCCCCTAGTGTGGATGGGAATTCCTCCTCCTTGGCCCAGGGGGGTGGAGAACCTGTTCTCAGCAGACATTTTGGGTCCCTGCTGCCAGAGGGTGTCTATGCTGTTAGCCTCGGCAAGACTGATGCTTTCATCCACAAATACAGGAAGGTGTCTGGGCCTGGGAGCTGTCCCAGGACTGGGACACTCCCTGGAGCTGGGAGCTCTCTGGCCCTGGGCTGAAGGGAACTGGAAAGCTTTGGGAGCAGCAGGGCAGGGCTCGGTGGGGCTGTGCTGGTGCAGACACACCCACTGCCATCCCTTAGATTGCCTCACCTTCCTGGCATGTCCTAAGGCACTGTGCTGTTGTGTCTCTGGTTTTTAGGAGAAGTGGAATGTGACCTTGTTCACAGGGGTCTGAGGATGAGGGAAGAGACGAGGATCTGACTCCATGTTTCAGAAGGCTGATTTATTATTTTATGGTATATATTATATTAAAACTATACTAAGAGAATAGAAGTAAGGATTTCATCAGAAGGCCAGCTAAGAATAGAAAAAGAAGGAATGATAACAAAGGCTTGTGGCTCGGACAGAGTCCCAGCCAGCTCACTGTGCTTGGCCATTAATTAGAAACAACTCTATGAGACCAATCACAGATGCACCTGTTGCATTCCACAGCAGCAGGTAATCAATGTTTACATTTTGTTCCTGAGGCCTCTCAGCTTCTCAGGAGGAAAAATCCAAAGGAAAGGATTTTTCATAAAAGATGTCTGTGACAGTGGAAGATGCCAGTTCTGCTGTATTGGATAAAGTGTATTGCAGTGTGGCAGAGTCCTCAAATCCTTGTTTAGGCAAAGCTGCTCAGTATTGGGAGGAGTTTCTGTCAGAGAGAAAGTCTTCATTTGCAGAACTGCAAACCCAGATGTGGTAGCCCGTGATCTTTGGGCTGTGCACTCCATCTATTCATTTCTAAGTAATATTTAAGCTACAGGTTTGTCTATTCTAGTTATTCTTAGTGTTAGGGTTGTTCTTTGGTGGAGGATGGGCGAGCCCCCTGAGGTGCTGAGCAGGAAGGGAGGCTGAAGAAGAAGCAGCACCACTGACAGCTGGAGTTGCAGCCAGTCCCAGGTCCTGGACCTCAACTCTGTTTTGTGTGTCCTGGGTCCTCCCTGCCCTGCCTCTCCCCTTCCCTCCTGCACTTTGGGACACCTTATTTTCTCCCCTGTACCTTTTCTTTTCTCTTGGTTCTTCTGTCCCATCAAAATAGGGCTTTTAGAACTGTACCAGCATTAAAGAAAGGGCCCAAGGCAATACTGAAAGCACTCCCTCCTTTGGGTTTTAGCATCCTTTGTACAAAGGCTGAGATAGCAAAAACCAAAAATCGTTGCACATTTTCTGTGAGAACTAAACATAAAGACTTCTCACTGCTTTCCTAAGCCATGCAGGAACACTGGAGGCCTTTTAGGAAGGGAAAATTATGATAAAATACATTTCTGTATGTTTCTGTGCAAAGCTTTTGACTGAAGATCACCTTAAAGAGCAGAGTTGGGTTTAATAATGTTATTTTGTTGACTTCAACAGTTTCTCTCAAATGTTTTTACTGAGAAAAGTATAAAATAGGACTATATTTACATTTTCAAACATACTTTTCTGTCCTTAAGTATCTTGTAGTTATTAATGTGTATTTTTGCAGCTGTGCGATCTGTGATAAAGATAGCTTTCCTGCTGGGCTTGGTGGTAATGATTTGTAAGAAATTTATAAACATGCTGGTGTCTGCTCCAGGTATGAATGGCTTGTGGCAATGGTTATGCACCCAGTTTGTTAGAGGAGGAACAGGGGATGAGGCTTTCAGCCTTTGTTTTCCTTCTTCTCTTCTGAATCTGTTGCATCACTATTGAAGAATGTTCAGTTTCCCCTGAATGTTCAAGAGACCATCTTTCTGGTATTCAGTCTGGTAACCTTCCTCTATACAGTCTGCAGCTTCTCTAGAATGAGGGCTGAGATTTCTAGAAGGGCTGATGAGACCCCTGACCCTGGAGTAGACCCAGGCATGGAAAATCCTGAGTGGTGTGGGAAATGGGAGGATATGGGCCAAATCCTGAAGGAATTCTCTGACCCTATAGTCTGGGATTTTCCCCATGAACGAATTCAGAACCCAGCTGAGGTGGGCAAATATCTGAAAGAGAAGTACCAGGATGAGCCTAAGAAGAGGAAGGTCATTGCAGTGAGCTGGGCCCTGGCATATGCTTATCGCACACTGCTAGATACTGTCAGGCAGCAGACAGAGGCAGGGGGGCAGGGAGATAAATCAGCAACTGTCCCGGTGATTCAGGCTGCAGCCAACACTCCAGGCTCGAAGCCAGCAGCCAAACCAGACAGTGAGCCTAAGCCAGCAGCTAAACCAGACAATAAGCCTCAACCAATGGCTGTTGCTGCCAGTACTAGAAGTGGAAAGTGCATGGACAAGACCGATGGACCAGTGGATGATGATGATACAGGAGAAGGACCTTCAATGCCTCCTGACATAAAATCAGGAGTCAAAGCAGCAGGTGCAAGATCAGGTGCCAATACTGAGACTTATTCCCTGAAGGACCTTCGTGGCTTACGGAAGGATTACACACGATGACCCGATGAATCCATAATTAGTTGGGTGGTCCATCTCTGGGATGCTGCAGGCAAGGCTACAGTTCTGGATGGCACTGAAGCCAGGCATTTGGGATCCCTGTCACAGGATCCTGTCATTGACCAAGAAATGATGAACGGGGCTAATCCACACAGCCTCTGGGCACAGGTCTTGGACAGTGTTGCACGAAGATACCTGTGTGCAGATGATCTCTATATGCAGCAAACTCAGTGGAAGACCATAGAACAAGGGATCCAACGCCTGAGAGAAATGGCAGTGGCATAGATTATCTTCTCAGATGATGTAACAACTAGGAACCCAGACTTGGTACCATGCACGTCTGTGATGTGGTGAAAACTTCTGCGACTTGGGCCACATGAATATGCTTCTGCCTTAGCCATCATGAAGAGGGATGAGAGGGATGAGACTGTGCTTGACACGGCAAGGAAGCTCCGAGCATATGCAGATGCTGTACATGGCCCGACACATGCCAGAATTGCAACAGTGGAAACATGTCTACAGAAATTGGAGGATAAGATAGAGGAGAATCACAAGAAGCTCAGAGAGGAGATTAAAGACGACCTTCTCCATATCTCAGCAGCACAGATCAGAGGTTCTGGTATCCAACACAGAAGTTCCCCAGATGGAGAGAGATGGTACACCCCACGAGCTGAGCTGTGGTTCTACCTGCATGATTGTGGAGAAAACATGAGAAGGTGGGATGGAAAACCTAAAGCTGTTCTGGCATGACGGGTGCATGAATTGAAGATAGACAGGGCTCAGAGAGGGAGTTCCACCAGAAGGAAAGCAGCTCCAGTTGCCCGTAGCCAAACGGCAGGTATGGTGATGATGACATGTCTGATCCCCTCGAAGGAACATCCAAAACATACGCCCAGGAAAAGAAGGATAACCAGGCTTAGAGGGGCCCTGCCTCTAGCCAGGTAGAGGCCAGGGAAAATTGTGTTTTCTGGTCTGTGTGAATTCGTTGGCCTGGCACATCGGAACCACAAGAGTATAAAGCTTTGGTTGATACTGGTGCACAATGTACATTAGTCCCCACATTAATGTGAGGACAGAGTCTGTTTCTATTGCTGGTGTGACAGGGGGATCCCAGGATTTCACTTTGGTGGAAGCTGATGTGAGCCTGACTGGGAATGAGTAGAAGAAGCACCCTATTGTGACTGGCCCAGAGGCCCCATGTATTTTGGGCATAGATTACCTCCAAAGAGGGTCTTTCAAGGACCCAAAGGATCTCAGGTGGGCATTTGGGATAGCAGCTGTAATGACAGAGGGCATCCAGCAATTGAACACGTTGCCTGGGTTGTCTGAGAATCCATCTGCAGTAGGGCTTCTGAAGGGAGAAGAGCAGCAGGTGCCAGTTGCCACTTCCACAGTGCATCGACGACAGTACAGAACCACTAGAGATGCTGTGGTTCACATCCATAAGATGATCCGAGAGCTGGAGAGCCAAGGGGTGGTCAGCAAGACCCACTCACCCTTCAGCAGCCCCATCTGGCCTGTGTGAAAATCTGAAGGAGAATGGAGATTGACTGTGGACTATCGTGCATTGAATGAAGTGACTCCACTACTGAGTGCTGCCCTGCCAGATATATTAGAGCTCCAGTACGAGCTTGAGTCCAAGGCAGCAAGGTGGTACGCCACTATAGACATTGCCAATGCATTTTTCTCCATTCCTCTGGCAGCAGAATGCAGGCCTCAGTTTGCCTTCACATGGAGGGGAGTGCAGTACACCTGGAACCGATTGCCCCAGGGGTGGAAGCACAGCCCCACCATCTGCCATGGACTGATCTAGGCTGCACTGGAAAAGGGTGAGGCTCCAGAACATCTGCAGTATATTGATGACATCATTGTGTTGTATTCCCTGCGGAAGTGTTTGAGAAAGGGAAGGAAATCATCCAAATCCACCTGGGACCTGGTTTCGCCATTATAAAGAGCAAAGTAAAGGGACCAGCTCATGAGATTCAATTCCTGGGAGTGAAGTGGCAAGATGGACAGCGTCAGATTCCCACCGATGTCATCAAGAAGACCACAGCAATGTCTTCATCATCCAGCAAGAAGGAGACACAAGCTTTCCTAGGTGTCACAGGCTTTTGGAAGATGCATATTCCTGAGCACAGTCAGATCGTGAGCCCGCTTTACCTGGTCACCCGCAAGAAGAACAATTTCCACTGGGGCCCAGAGCAGCAACAGGCCTTTGCACAGATCAAGCAGGAGATTGCTCATGCAGTAGCCCTTGGCCCAGTCAGGACAGGACCAGAGGTGAACAACATGCTCTACTCTGCAGCCAGGAACCATGGCTTGTCCTGGAGCCTTTGGCAGAATGTGCCTGGGGAGACTTGAGGCCGACCACTGGGATTTTGGAGTCGAAGCTACAGAGGGTCTGAAGCCAACTACACTCCAACAGAGCAGGAAATCTTGACTGCCTGTGAAGGAGTCCAGGCTGCCTCAGAGGTAATAGGCACTGAAGCACAACTCCTCCTGGCACCCCGACTACCAGAACTGGGGTGGATGTTCAAAGGCAAGGTTCCTTCCACTCACCATGCCACCAGTGCTACATGGAGCAAATGGATTGCTGTTATCACACAGCGCGCCCATATTGGAAAACTGAATCGCCCTGGGATTCTGGAAATAATTGCAAACTGGCCAGAAGGTGGAAACTTTGGTCTCGCTGATGAAGGGGAACAAGAAGTGACACGGGCTGAAGAAGCTCCACCATACAACCAACTGCCAGCAGAAGACACACGATACGCTCTCTTTACTGATGGTTCGTGCCGCATTGTGGGAATGAACCGGAGGTGGAAAGCAGCCGTATGGAGCCCCACACGACAGGTG